GGAAAAGAGAAAAAAAAAATTGAAAAAAGAAACTATAACAAGAAAGCTAAACTGTAGAGTAAATAAGAATATAGAAAATTGTAATATTAGTTTCAAAATAGTATTAGATAGTATAGCTAAAAAAGTAAAAGAAGAAATAATAGCTAGTTAGATTTTAAGTTAGTCATTATAAACTGTGGTATCCTTTTTATAACCTATTTATAATTTATAAGTTTTATAAATTACAATAGTATAAAACAAAGATTACTATAGCAGATCATATATAAATATCTTTAGGATAACCAGATGAGTTAAAGCTTAAAAAATTAGATATTAGATAGTATATAGCTAAATAATACTGGTTTTAAATAAAAAACAAATCTAAATAAAGTTATAGCATGTCTGCTGAATTTTTTTTTTTAAAAAAAAGATAAATTTAATCAGTTAAATTTAATATTAAAGAAGAAAATTAAAAAGAAAAACTCAAAAGAAGAAAAAATTATACAAAATAAAAAGAAAGAAAAAGAGACAAGAAAAAACTAAACAAAGTATAAGCTTGATAAAATATAAAAGAAAAAAGCTATTTTATATAATCAAACTGAAAAAAGTAAATGTTTAACAAGTAGTATAATCAAGAAAGAAAAGAAATAACAACTTATCAAATAGAAAAAAGTAAACTAATATAAAAAAAAAATAAAAGAAAGATTAGAAAAAATAAAAGCAAAAATATCTTTTGAAGAAAGAAGTAATTTTATACAAAAAATAGAAACTTGGATCATACTTCTTACAAATAACCTCTTGATATGTATAATATCAGAATTAAACAAAAAAGAGATATTAAAAAACTATAAACAGTTTATGTTAAAACTATATAATATTTCACAAAATGTAAACAAAGTATTGTTATTCAGACAACTTAAATACACTGAAGCAAGAGCAGTATATGTTTTCAAGAATTCAAATAGAAACAACAAAAGCTATACAATAGTATCTTTTAAAAGCCAATGAGAAATAGCTCAAACACAAAAGTACAGTATCAAGTATTATAATACAAGACTTTTCTAGAAAACTTCTGAAGTAGTTACAAATAAAGCATATTACTCAGAAAAAGAGTGTAAGCAAAGTCACTACGCTTATTTGGATCAATCTAAATAATAGTGAACTTTACATAGATTTTTTTCGTCATGTATTAATATTTATTTTCTCATGTTTATTGATTTATGACTTTCTAGTCATTTGAAGATTTTCTAAAAAAAGCTTTTGATAGAATTGTACTAATACAAATGAAGAATTAATGCATGCTAATATAAATGTGTATGAAATTATACATATAATTTCTTATACTTTCCATATGTCTATTGCTGTTCCTTCACCACATTTTTGCAATATCCTCGTCATCAAGATTAACCTCCCTTTCATATTATAATTTTCCTGCTTAATTCGTCGAACATCAATATTATCTTTCCTTCAACCTACTTTTCATCGTTATCACTACTTTCCTGTTTAGTATCTATCGGGACACTAAACCCCCACCGCCTCAACTCATCAACCGACCGATAATGTAAATGCAACAAAGCAACCGGAAAACTAGATTTCACATGCGCAGAAATTGTAGAATCCACTCCTTGATAAAAGTATGCAGATATTGCACCAACTAACTGAGGATTATTATTTACTACATAGCTTTGTTGTTTTTTCTCAACCCCGTAGAGGTCGATTGGTGGATAATTTGGTGGTAAAATTCCATCAATTTTTATTAATACTCGAAGCGGTCGTTTATATGTAGTATCCGTAGATGAAACTCTAACAGTGAAGTAGGTAGGTACGGTTCTGAAGGCTATGTAATGAAGGTAAGGGCTAAAAAAAAAAAAAAAAAAAAATTATATTTGTGAATATATAGAAATAAAAATGCATATGTTTAATTAAATGGATGTAATAAACTCCTTAAAAAAAACTTCTTTTACCTTTCATTTCGTACCCTAGTTTTTTCATTATCAACCCAATTTGGACTGGTATATCTATACTAAGAGCATAAATATCGATACTTGTTCATAAAATCATACGCACCAAAGATCTATCAAATGACAAAGGAGCATCAACATTACCGGTACACTATCTCTAGGTCCACAGTATTCATCAAGTAACACATCATTTACTAATACCTCAATTTCAAATCCTCGAAAATGCATATTTTCTAGGTGAAATAAGCCTTAAATTCTCTCTTTTTCTCAAAGAATATAAAATTTAAAAATATAACGATAAAGATAAAAAACTAAGAATGATAAAAAAGATCTTCAACCTTATCAGATTATAATTGATGGAATATGTGGAAATGCGCCCTTAAATACTTTTATACTGTATAAACTTGAAGAGAATGCAATAAAGTATATATATATGTATATAGAAATCATTGCCAAATTTAATATCCTATGCTTTTTTTATTTAGAATAGTTAGCTTCTCAAAATGGATACAGGTAAAACGAAAACTATTATTATACTAACTTTTTAAATCAGAGAAAAAAGTATGTCTTTTAATATGTAATGGGAAAGTATCAGGTATAAAGAATATATATAAATATCGTATCTTTAACAATGTAATAGTCTTATACGATATATATATAGTTTATTATTGTTTTTTTTTTTAATGTCTGTTTTTAATTAAAGTATTTAGTCTAGTAAATACAATTTTTTAATTGTAGTTAAATAGTTTATTTTTGAGATATTAGTAGAGATTGGAACCGCGAAAAATTTTAATCGTTTAACCGCGTCGTTTAACTATAAATTACGTGATTAATCGTATTTAATCGTTTAACCGTTTACTTAATCAATATGATGTTAACTATCGGGTCTAAAGTACCGGGAAAACAAAACCCTAGTCGTAGTCCATTGCGAATCTTTATAAGTTTTGCATCGAATTAATAACCATTAAAGGGTCTGACCAATTGTTATTTCAGCAATAATAACACCAAATCCATAGATCATGTTGTCAATTTTGGCTTCCAATGGGAATTTTCTGGCCTTCCAGTGAGATTTTGTAATAGTAAAAGTTCCAGTGGCACTATTAATGTTATTTACAGTGGCCTTCCAGTGGTCTTCTACTGCCATAGATATTCATTTCTTGTATAAACGGCCATTTGCCTGATAAAACTTCAGGAGTAATATAGGGCAGACACCAAAATGTCACCTTAGTGCGTTGGTCTTGCAAAATGTTATCACTATTAAATCAGCATGAATACA